AGATCCAAATACAGCCGTCCGTATCGCTATACGGCAAATAGGAGTTACCTTTCACGTACCAGTACGAATTCATCTGCTGACTCGCTGTCTTTGGATACAGTGCGACTGAAGCACACTGCGGAAAGATCAACGAACTGATTAGTAAGAGCACCCGTCGCTCTTACTTTCATCTTCTTCACCGAAGTCGATTTGATAGACATTAGCAACATATGTAGTGACCTCGTGGTGAGTACGTGATGATTGAGAACCGATTTAGCTTTCGCTCAAATGAGTCTCCCCTCAATCAAGAGTTACAAACTAAAAATGTGGGTAGGCGTGGATGGTGGAAGCCTTTCATGGAGGAAGACGTGTGCGTCGTCGACGCATGTACTGAATTGTTGATGGCGAATACTACCATTAGCAAGAACTTGTTCCAATTCGTAACCGAATGGACATATCCCCAAAGGATTTCCTCAAGAACACGGTTGGAACGTTCTGTCTGACCATCTTCTTCAGGGTGGTGAGAGGTCGAAATCCGAAGGCGCGTTCAGAGTGTTTTAAACACGGATCGCTATAATTCAGTAGTGAACCGTGTGTATCGATAGTATACGACATCACGAGGCAACCTATGAAGACGAAAGATTTTGTCAACAAAACACGAGCACATGTCGATGCATTGATAGATTCAGGTACATATACAAGGTGTACAATTTTACTGAATCCATCAACGAGCACAAAAATACCTGTATTCTTGTCTGGATCTGCGGGGAAGGCAAAGAAAAAATCCACTGAGACAGATTCCCAGCATTCTGCCGGAATGGACAAGGGTTGCAACGGCGCACGAAGTGAAGGACCAGACTTCACTCTTTGACAAACTTCGCATGCGCGGACGTACTTACGCACGAACTGATACTGGTGGGGCTAGTCAAAGCCGCGACTAACTCTGAAATACGTTTTCTCTCGACCACGATGATCACCAGTAGGTGCATCGTGGTACTCATACATGATGCGCAGTCGCAGATCACCATGATATGGTACGATGACACAAGGCGTGTTTCCGGCAACGACTGAATACTTCAGTAAGCCGTTGTGAACTGTATATCTATCTGTGGAGGATCGATAGACTGAAGACAACTATTTATGGTATTGACGGGATGGTTGCGAGAGATGATCCATTAATGAACCATCACCGGATCGTATGCGTTGCTTCTTTCAATAAGGTTTACGACGGGACATTCGACGTCAACACCGCGAAATTGGTAGGGCCATTGTCGGGTTGCGCAGCCGGTTCAAAATCGGGCCGGCGTTACAGAGCATCAGCAACGATGTATAGTCGTCCTGGATTATATTCCACGAAGAAGTTACACTCCGCGAAGAACGAAAGCCTTCTAGCCATCGATGCGAGAGGTGTGGACTGTTAACGACCGTGCGTAAGGACGCATGCTCCTCGTAAACGATGAAGGGTCTATCATCTAGCAGGTAGATTCTGAATTTCTCCAGCGCGTACTTCATGGCAAAGATTCCCTTGGCATTGAAGGGGTAGTTGCGTTCAGCTGTTTGCAGATGTCATGACTGGTAACAGAAGACACGCTACGCTTCGTCTGTATCGTACTGCATTAATGTGCAACCGATTGCGAAATCGCTGGTATTACAGACCACGTGGAATGGCCTGTCTTTGTCTGCAATTGCCAAAAATGGCGAGCATATCAAACTTTGCTTGATACCTTCGAAATAGCACTAGCAATTAGCACTCCATGACCACTTCTCGTTATTTTCAATAAACGAGAGAGACAAACAGTCATCTCGCCTTAATTGTGTACATATTTGTGCAAATACTCCGCTAGACAAAGGAAAGGTTGGAATCACCTGACATCTGTAAGCACCGACCATTCGGTGATTGCCTGGATCTTTTCTGGATCGGGCCGGACGGAATGCTTTCCCACGATGCATCAAAGAAGCGATATTTCTATAGCAGCAAGTGTATACTTCCTGAGATGGACGTGCAATCTATGCTAACGCATCAGTGTGAGAAACTTTCTGAAGTGGAGTCAGTGGACTTCCACATCCGTCTGCTCACCCAAAGCCCGGATACGGACGAACGCGTCATCGAAATAGCTAGGTGCAAATTATCGCACATGTCTTATCAGATTTATAAAGCATCTATTTAATGTGGAGGGGGCATTACTTCATCCCTGTGGCATAACAGGCCACTACCATATCACATTGCTTGAAGTTCTCACTACAGTATATGGAATATCCCTTTTGCTCATTAGGATATGATAGAACCCGTCCGCACGATCCATCGATGAAAAGATGGTACTATTTGCCACACCATCTATAGTGACATCCTTCCTTGGTATCGGCACTCGAGACGGTACAGTGGCAGCATTCAACTTGTTGAAGAAATGTACTATCTGCCACCCTGCAGTGGTCTTTCGGAAAAAGAAGGTCGGAGAGCTATGTGGGGAAGTAGATTTCCTCACTTGTCCCGCTGCCAAGCGATCGGCAAAGAATTTATCAATCTCTAGTACCGGTTTACGAGGCAGTGGGCACTGCTTCATGACATAGTAATTTGGACCTATTTCAGGTCGATCTCATGACGATTGTACTTATCGTTGGGTAGCTTGCATGGAACCTTTTCTGGGTACACAACTCTGAATCCCGATAAAAATTATCGTAAAGAGAATTTGTGTAAGACAATTTCCACAATCGAGATGTGTACCGTACAATAAGAATATTCTTATATGAGACACTCTCGTCGATTGATGATCTGCTAAGAATTCTTTCGCTCTCAGAGATTACCATTGACGACCGAATATTGGTTACGTACTCGTCTTCTGCGACAAAGACGCAGATATGCTTGACTTTGCCACAAAGCAGATCACGCAAGAACCTATTTTGTTCGAGTGTGGGCAATTTAGTGATCTTTGAAGTTGTCTTTGGAGGCGAGATCATATTAAATAAACAAAGGACTATACTTGATACGTAATTGACCACAACATCACCTTCTCTCACATGTCCTGGAAACCTTTTTCCTTACCAGGCTCTAGACCTGATTATCACGTCACACGAGTGGAATTGATCCTCGCTATCTATTAACGGTGATTACGCTACCACGGCCAAATCTTCTACGTGCGATTCTCCAGCCGCACTAAGATTATCGTATTGACAATCATTGGCAAATCGTTGCTTGTCACTCAGGTGTTGAACGTTTAATGGACACCGATGCCCGCATTCTACTTGTCTTGTTCGGGTGGTGGGCATTCAAAGCGACCTGCGTCTCAATAAAGTTGCCGTAATCTTGTTTTATGGAGTGGATATCAGTCATGCCATGGCCACATGCAGATGCACTTACGACCGAACCAGACGCGAGGGTATAGCACTCGATCACAGCACACCCACATGTAGTGGGCGCTCCATGGCTTTCAATAGATGGTCATCTGGTGAATAAATGACAGGCGTATCGAATGTTCGTCGATACTAGCTGACATGTGAATTGTACCTTCTAATCCACGGCAGTCCAAAATTACATTAAATTTGTCATCAAAGTCCAAAGTGATGAAATCATCAGCAGCAGTGGCCTGCTTCTGTCTAAACAGTCCGAACTGTTGAGCACCACGTTCTTTTAAAGGCTCTTCTTGTTTAAACCTTGTTGATGTAGCAAGGTAATCATTCCCCGCTTATCGTCAAGTTCATTCTGAATAAACTTGGCGATGGTGGCGTGCTGTGTAACGGGGTGCATCGTTACATAACAATTTATAAGAAATTGTTAATAGAATATAACTATAAGAGTTATATTCACAGAATATTGTCATAAGGACAAATATTCTGCAGCACTTACGAGTAGTTCCTAATTGGTTGATATAGGCCATTATATCAACCAACGAAGACGCGCCACGACAGACGCACGCAATGAGTGGTGAGCAGATAGTTGATTTACACATTTGTATTTAGACATAGTTAGATGAAGATAAATAGTGATTTATTGCAGACATTAACTATGATAAATACAGTTCTACTTTTTACTGAAACCAAGTACTCGCTTCTTCGTACCCGTCTTCCTCTGCACGTACGAGTGTACGTGAAGTTCCGAGGCACCGCCTTATTCTGTCATCAGAATAAGTAGCTTGTACTGTCACCAGTACAAGCTTCAGGGTGCCCCGTTACATGCTGTCTGTCTGGCTCCAGGGCGGACAGCATTGCGCCAACGGCTTCTTGACCTATCTTCGAGCTCAAACGCTCGACGGCATCCCATTTAATTTGACTCCAGTGGGAGTAGCTTTCATGCGTAGGATGAAAACCAACCTCTTTATCGTCCAACATGTTCATGGTCGTTGAATGGGCTACGAAGTGCTACCAGGGTGTAACGGGCCACACCAATATTTAGCCAACTGAATCAATCTTGCACTGCTGACAGTGCAAGGGCGTGTGTGTCCGACTGCCTCGCGTTCACGTACGTGCAAAGGAAGATTTCTGTATGGAGTAAGAGTACTTAGTAAAGGTAAAAAGTAGAACTGTATTTAGCATAGTTAGTCTTCTTAAGAAAATCCAAATTCGACTTCATTCAATGATATCTAAATTCAGACATGTATTGTAACTATCTGCGCACCGCTCATTGCGTGCTTCTGTCGTCGCTAAACTTTGTTGATTGAAATCTTGATCCTACACCAACCAATGAGCAGTGTGTAACATCTGCGAAGCAACATTATCTGTCAGGATAACATTGTGAGAATATTGTGTTTGTTTAGCATACTATTTGTACTAGATGATTACCTTTTGTAAATTATTGTGTAACGGGGGCACCCCGTTACAGGAGGGACGACCAGTGAAGACGGAATCAAAGAGCCAAAATTGGTGCACACAGAATTTCAAGAGCCATGTGCTAGAATATGCGCAACAGAACACGACGGATACAGAGCGCCAGAAGATGTGCGCAACAAAACACTTTCAATGCAGATTATACAATTTATTGCGCATTCGCAATCAGCGTCACTGGCGCCACGGACAACGTCAACCATGCGCTATACGGAGTCTCCAGCTGGACCAGGCGGGAAAAGTGGACTGTACTGAGGCTGCTGGTGCTGCCCGGGATATCGGTAAAAATTGCTTGTCTGTGGCGCGTCTCGTTGCTGCGGTGGCTGACTGTAGCTACTTTCGCGTGCAGAAGGCGGAGCAGATGCCGCTGAGAAAGTTTGGTAGGAAGGCAGGCGTTGAGACTGCTGGGACGGTGCGTGCACATATGGTTGGTGCTGCTGAGACTGCAATATCGCCCAATCGTATGAAGGGGGCACCGGTCCTTGCTGTGCCGGCCGGTAATACTGTGGAGTGCTTCCTGCCAATCGACGAGCTAATTCCTCATCATTCGCACTTGGCCCAGTAGCTACATTGCGAATATTCATATCCTCTATCATCTTCTGGGCCAAAGCTGCATCGTTCGATTCGCGCTGTAGCATTGCTTCGTCAGCAGTCAAATTCATCTCCAGCTCGCGTTTTTCAAGCTCTCGCGCGGAACAGTGGTCTGCAACGGTTTGGTGCAACTGCGAGATTCGAGCGCTGAGCTCCCCATAAAACGTCGCACCTTCTTTCACGTGCCATTCAAGTTGTTCAAAAACGTCAACAGCATCATTCAGACGCTGAAGAAATTTCTGGCGCTCTCGTAACATGTGATCAGCCTCTTTCTTCAATTCAAAACGGGCATTGGCCTCCACCAAGTCAATGAGCAAAGCCTGCTCTGCCTCACATATAGTGAAGATTTTCTGCTCAAAATGATCACGGAAGAATTGCTTCTCAGTTTCGAGCGCGGTTACAACGGAGGCATCATCAAGTACATCTTCACTCAGCAGCGCAGGAAGAGCATTGAACCTTTCGAAAGATCCCCTAAAATCATGTAGAACCTGGTCTTTTTCCTCCACAAGCTGCCCAAGCCGCAACAACAGCGATGATACTTGCTCAATATCCTCTTTACAGCTAGAATCATCATGTTGTAGCTCCGGTAACTCTTGATCAAGGCTGACCTTGGATCGCAACAATGCTCCAAGATACTCCTGATTTTCGTCAAGCTTCTCTTGAACTATACCGTCAGATGCTTTGGCCTCCGTTATCAATCGGCAATACCGATCAATATCTGCTCGAAAGCTTTGGTTCAGCATGGACGACGGAGGGCGACCCCACTTCTTCTCACCGTAATTCTGCAAACACAAGTTGTCTTCGACTTCTTCTTGGTTCAGGCTTAACTCAATCATACGCAGCATCTTTTCGGCCTTGTCAGACATACTTTGATTTTCATGAAGTTGTTGTTCAATAAAAGCCGCTACCACGTGCTCGTTTGATCCACTGGTAAGCATCGCAGTAGAAGCCGTGCTTGACTGGACGTTTTGAATGCGCTGCCATATCGTGCGAGGAATACCATTATCGCTGGTCTTTTCGAAAGCTTCGATAGAGGCAGGAAGCTCCATGGAGTGGAGTCTCTCTTTAGCAGCTTCGTTGCTCGTCGATATTTTCGCCGCCATTTGGTCCAGCATTGCTTTAACCTCTCGTTTTGCATCGTCAGCGCGCAGTAGCAGACGTTTCGGTATGAATTGCCCAAAGATGTCAACACCTCTAAGTTCCTGCTGCATCTCATCGGTCTTGAGCGGTACCGGTTTGACCATGGCAGCTTTTCCCACTACTGGTAGCTCGGAAAACTTGGGCACGTTCTCCAAATATACGCTGGCATTGTCTTTTCTTGCTGCCTCAAGGTGTTCCCGCACCAAGCGCTGTAACGCTTGCGCCGACTCCAACAGCGATATAGGTAGTTTATTCTGCGTCGCCAATTTGCAAGCCTCACTACACTCCGCATCTGCAACAACCAGTCGCGTAATTTCTTCTCCGTAACCCCGTCCTCGATCTAGTGCTGCTGCTTTGGACGCCTTTCCTTGCCAATATTGCGTAGCTGCAAGCAGGCAATGAACTTGAAACTGCAGATGCATACCCCACGACCTGTCAATAGCTCCCACTAACGTAGGCGAGCGACAAAATTCGAGTGCTGAGACGTAGTAGTCCAATGCTTGTTGCACGAGCTTCGCTTTGATCGCATCCTTCATCTGGTCTTTAATCGCTTTCTCGTAGAAACAAGCTTGAGCTTGAGCCAACATCAAGTACATAAGCATCCCGAGTCCTTCCGAGCTCATGTCAGGCGTTCTGACACCCACCGTCCGATCTACAATTGTGTCCTTCACCTCTGCGAAAGCTCCAGCTGCTTTCATAAAGTGATGGCAGGCCGTCTTGAGCCCTTCAACTGTGCTGCGGTCTGTCTCGACGCCCAACTGACTTTCCAAAGCCCCTATATTGAACATAACAGCGCCTTTCTCGAACGTCAGACCCGTCTGCGTACTCTTCTTGCGTGGACAGAACGAGTCATTCCATGTGAACTGCAGCTGCAGAGGCGTGCGCACAGAAGAGTTCACCGACGAGCCGCTGTCGCTCGTAAAGCGCTGCGACATCTTCTCTAGCTGTGCGTAGTAGCGCAAAAGCACGTGACGGGAAGTGGCAGATGGCGTGCGCACTAGATCCACATCAGTCTTGAGCTGCGCAAACTCGTCCAGTGCGGCCTTGTGCGTAGCCTTCTGATCAGCGCCCGTCCCGGAAGCGAACTCTCTGTCCAGGAACTCATCCAGTGCGCTGCGAAGCGAAGCCGTCGACGTGTCGCTGAGCTTAAAGCCGATGGCCAACATGGTCTGGAGATTTGTCGATGCCGTCTGAGTAAGAGAAGCTTTAAAAGCAGTTAGAAATAAAGGGGCAGCTCTAACGCACGGGTCGATTGTGGGCGGTTGTTGTTACAGTGATCGGTTTAGGCCAATCGAAAGATAATCTGGTTAATCTGAACTTTATTGTTCGATCTGATTCTGAAGATATCATCCAATTTTGATACACCGACCCAAATTCTAGTGTTTTAATCGCATTTGCTGTTGTAATGGTCGCCGGCAGGCGCTGAGATGCAAAGCGAAAAGCAAGAGTGCACAGTGGTCGAACACGCAAGGACACATTCGATGAAATGTAGAGATTGTGTTGACGCGGACGATCTAACGGAGACCACTGCACTGGTTTGAAGCGTACATTTCAGTACATGTAACTCGTGTGTCGTAATGTCTTTTTTCCAAAATGGCGACAGTACCATCATTGCAAATGCGTTCCTGGCGGCAGCATTGATAAAGTCTGTCACAAATTGCGTACAATACGTATCGAAAAAAGCACGGTTTGCCAACAACGCGGCCATAGCATTGCCATCAGCAAAAACGCCACTTTCGATGTCGAGGACCACAACGACGACAACAACGATGCCGAAACAATTGAATCAGTCAATATCGGTGTCACGTCAAAAAAAAATCTGATTAAAGCCTGTTTACCTACGACGGCGGTTGGCTATCAAAGGCATGTTGATGGGTAGAAAAAACGATAAACACGTTTTGAGGCATGCCCATGAATGCTAGAAACAAGTGAAGTGGGCACCATGAGAGCGTTTCTGCGTCATCATAGCTACATTGAACAGGCACTTTTGCATGATGTCGAATCAGTGGTGTTGCTATTTCTCCTTTCCCATTTCCTTCACCGCCTTCCACACAAAAAAATGCGATTGAAAAATTGAAAAGGGTAGGTGTACAAATGTTGCGTTAGGATCAGATTGGGTGTAACAGATTAGAATTGGACGATTAGATTTTGATTGGCCAAACAAATAGGTGGTACACTGACCTACTCACAGCTGGTTTATTCCATCTTTCCCTTGCTAAAACCAAGAGCAAGTTCCAGAAAATGCTCTCCTATTTTTCGATGGGAAAATTCACCAGCGCAACGACCCACTATCTATGGCGCCGTCCCGCGCAGGATGGGGTGCGATTGGCCTATGCAGCGTTCCATCCCGCGCAATCGGGATGGGACGCAGGATACTGGGAGACGAGATCATTGAACATTTTTAGCGCACATATATTTCGAAACGACCTAATCTGCATACACATGGGTGACTCCATATGCGCTGAGGGTACCAAAGAATGAGAATAATAGTGAATTCGGTGAAACATTCCAGTATACGAGCAATGCTTATCTGCTGTAACAAGTGGGGAATCTGAAAGCCTCATCTACTCGATCCTAATTCGGTGCCGTTGATAGTATGCTCATGCACACAGGACTCTTATTAAACGTAATGGTAATGGAATGGCGACGATGACCACACGCATCACCATAATGAAGATAAGTTACGGCAAGTGGCGACGTTACAAAGCAGGTTTTGGCAAAAAATTTAAGCGATTTGCGATTGCGCGAAAGCAATTTTGACGTTTGGTAAAACAGTACAACCTCTTGGCAAGGCTTTCAAACAATCGAGTTACTACCAAAAGAAACTCATCACTCGTTTCACCAGAGATTGTCTTCGCGAGTCTCCAGAAGGATAAGTATGGATGTCCATCGGATAGTCGCTGGGGGCATCCAAATTAACTCAACATGCATCTATAATGCTTCGATGCATGCCTAGACAGAAAGGTCGAAGAAAGATAAAAACATTGAATACGACAACGTATACATACGAGACGATAACGCTCTCACTTTACGCTCTCTTGATTCCCAAAGAATTATGTGAGTAGACAATTTATAAAATCTTGACGTTAAATAGTACGATAATCATAGAATGCGGGATGTATGGGACGCGAAGGATAGTAACAGCCTATCCCGCAGGGCGGAACGTTACGGGACAGAGTATTACTATCGACTGATGCGTTTAACCTTTCGCATCATAGGCACATCCAGAAAGAAAGTGGCTGTAGGAAGATTGGCTATTGCTTTACACACACTCAATGATAGTTTTGTCCGCCGGGCTTGCAACAAGATGACGCGACTGTGATGTTCACCTTTCTTAACATTCACCTATAACATTCACTGTGTTCTGCAGTTTCGTGCAACATCAACTGCTACAGAAAAGGGTGTACCGAAATGTCCTGAGGTTGGATCAGTTAGTTGATTTCCATGCTCACGCTTTACTCGGAGAATCTAGAGCAATTGTCATTTCCATTGACTCTTTCGGTACACCTTCACCATACCCCTTAACTTCACGTTTTTTTGTCCTACAGCTAAGCCCATGGCGTCTTGAGCATATGTCAGCAGACACGATAGACACCCCAGCTAAACCGGTACATTTACATGAAATGATACAGAGAGAGAAATTACCATTCCCGCACCTGCTTGTTAGATGTTCCTAAGCACAGCGTAACAAGATCTCCAGCTACAAAAAGGATGTCCTCGATTTCATGCCTGCTAATGCCATACTTTATTGCACACACCTGACGCTAGACTCATTGCATCGCAGCAAGGTTTACCAGGAATGAGCGTTGCTATCGACGATTGGGTGCTCGATACTGAACCGACAGCATTCATGGGAGAGATTCCCGTTCATTAGTCGTCATGGAACGAACCTTGTTTCTTCTGTACAAGAATACGAACAAGTGTCAAGGCGTACATAGACAAAATGTTCAGTGGTAGTAACGTACGAACAGCTCTTTTCGAGCCCGTAGATGTACACAAGCAATAGGTACGTGTTCAACAAACCTCGTCCTTTTTCTTGCAATGCCGATACTCTTGTCAGACATCTGGGCCCACGCTAGGAGCTCGTGCTTCACCTGCAGCCTTCTCAATGGAGGAGGAGAACATACGTGTTACGTTAGTCCGTACATAGTTTCGACGTTGTGCATGCCTCACTCTGTAGCAGTGAGGCACACATATCCCCGAAACTGAACTCAGACAAGTCTCGCCACGTTTAGCCTGTAGGCGGCGGATCTTTAGAACCTTCATACCGTTGCGGCAAGCCTTCATCGTACGATTTGAGTCGTATGGGTTCTTCGCTATACCAATTCGTCGTCGGTGTGGCTTCATTCTACCACCGCGGAAACCCACTACAGTATTGTATAGTCTCGCTCGATCTCTAGCCGACAGCTTGAATATACATGTACTGCCAAAACTTCACACGCACTATAGACAACGTTGAGCACTGCCGCAAACAATGGACACGCTTTCTATCAGTCCACTTCGTTAAGACATTAGGTCGTATAACAGGTTTTCACATGACGCTTTTAAAGAAAATAAACGATAAAAAGCTGAATACCATTGCAGCTCAAGCTTTTGAAGACGCGCAGACTGGCATCGACCCTTTAGAGTCAGCAACACCGTCCAAAGCAACCTGCAGCAATATACTCCGATTTTATACCATGCGAAACCCTGCTTTGGGTGCGTATACACTCACACGCGTGTCTATTTTTTGGTCTGTAAAATGAATGCATCGGTTTATTTAGAAGAAAATGTAACACACGAGCATGTAGTTTTCGCAATGTTATGCCGTTTGTTTAATGAAGTACCAGCTGACGTTGGCCACGGCAAAACGACCCTGCTGATGGTCCGAGAGAAGATTAAGTAGGCGACTGAGGAGAGCTGCCAGCATGCATGAAAGTCAGGATACGTATCTGACAGCGTGGAAAGGTCGTGTCCAAGTCCGACGAGCATGTTCGTACTGGAAACCTCTGCACACTCTGTTTGTCGGGGTCAACAATGAGCACACGTACGCCAGCTTATTTCTATTCGCAAGACCGAGCAACACTGGTGAAGAAGGAGCTAGCTCTTGTATCGATGCAGATGTTGCCCATGCGCAAGTACGAGTAAAGATAGCGATCAAGGCAAAGGAGCAGCGCCAATGGAGGTGGAATGGAGGCAAAAGATGAGGAAGGCATGACGATGTTTGTCGCCGAGAGACAGCACATCATGGAGGTCAAGGATGTGGTTGAAAGGTCTGCACGAGAGACGGGTGGAGATCAAGGACATTACATGGGTGGAACAGATGCGCGCTGAAGCTGTGGTCTACTAATGCCGGCCGATGACTAAGTGGGATGCAGCTGCTGAAAGAGATGCATGCGATGTATCGTTTTATATTTGTATGTTTTTGTGTTCTGAGTGCAAGCTCGTTGCGCCACTGTACTAAAAAGGTATGGACATGTGTGCCCTTCGAAATCGAGCAAGCGTAAAAAAGCATGTACGTACAGTCGCTACAGCTGTCATGGAAGATCAAGAGCAGCACAAATCAGGGAAGCCAAGTTGGCTGTAGCACCTAAAAAGGAACCGATCCGACGGACGTTAGTGCAGTTGCATACTGTGAAGACCACAGTGGTCGGGGCCATCAAACAAAGGGTTACCGATCCTGATTGCAAACTATCCACGCGTGTTTATAATGCTCTTACGAAGCCGTACGGGTACAAGGATGTCTTCGATTGCACTATAGTCACCCTCAGCAACGAGAACGGCAGTGTCGGTCTAATGCTAACCGTTAAAGGTGCAATGACTTTGACCCAGATACACCATTGCTGAAGTCGAGGGAATGTACAGACGACTGCGGACGCGCGTCTGAAATGTCGACCGGCACGCAGGAGCAGCTACGAAAAAAGCGTGCTATTATGCACACTACCAATAACCACACAGCGCTGATCACAAAAAGCACATACATGCACCGATGTAATAATACCGCAAGAGGAGTGGATACTGTTCGTGGAAATTGATGATAGGGCTCTACTTGCTTATAGCCCGTTCAGTTCGCTTTCCACGATTTCTGAAGTATGTGGCTGGGTATCAGTCCCGAAAAAGGGCGAATACGATGGTGGACAAACACCATAACAGGAATGGCGACGGCAAGCTTTATTTTCCTAAGTTTTTGTAAAGGCCACAAGCAGTCGGCCTGCGCGCCACTTCATGCAAGGTATGGCTCGAGAAAATGAACCACTCCATCAAGTCATGCATATGACCGAAAGGTCTCCAGCACACCAATAGCGTCCTTGCCACCAAAGTCTATCAACGAGACCGGCAGTGTCAACGCATCTCAGACACCGCTTTAGCTTTGTACAGAGGCCGGACCATCATCCTTTTTCACGCGGTAGCGGACCCTAAAAAACCGCTTCGCCAAGGCAATGAGCTTCAGACGCCACACACCCTAAGGTCCCAAGTTCGGCGTGTCCGGGGGAAGCCAATATTGCTGAATAATCTTTACAACGTCCTTCGGTACGTGCTCATTATGAACGATGCTGCCCACATCATTGATTACGTGCTTGGACTCGAGAAGCATCAATAGTTTGTCATCGCTGAAGTGCTCAGGATCGGACCGGGGGTGCTCATGATTGTAGTGTTCAACATACTGAAAACACTGGACGAGCAGCTCTTGGATCATCGACTTCTTTGACTTCTCCGATGCTGCTAGAGGAGAGGCCAGCACATATCGTAGTGATAGAACAAAGACGTCTGCGGGGTCCATGTCTTCGTTTTGCCACGCACTTAGCAGTTTACTGACGGCATCCGGGTACTCTGAAAGTGACAGCTTTTGCCAGTAGTCGGAGTGCTCTTCCTCGCTAGGGAAGCGTTGAATCCAATCGAAAAAATCGTCCACCTCGTACACTGCTCCCTCCTCTATCTCCATCTCCAGCTCAGACAATTTAGCATCGGGATACGATGAGATCTTAGCGGCGTACCTGTCGACATAGGCTAGCCACAGCTTAAGCCGTTTGAGAAGGGGGAACAATCGTACCAGCGAGATAGGTGAGCTCGAGGGTTTCGGCGTCGCTGGGACGGGCAACATGTGGTAGACATCATAAACGTTCACATCTGCCGACAGCCAAATCATGAACATCGTCTTCCAGGCGGAGGGATGAATCTCCAGTAGTGCTCGTTGTAAGTTGTCGGCAAAATTCTTCATACCTCTGACACGTCGTAGCGAAAAGAGAAGCGCCGGCAGCTCATGGAAGGCCGTTTCACTCGCCAGCTTCTTGACTACGTCAGCGTCGCTATAGTCAAGATTTTTAGCACGGAACAAACCAACGTAATGAATCCACAATGGCAGCTTCCAGGGATTAATAGACCTCTCCACCCGTCGGGCGCGACGTGAAGGTACTGTGTTCGTGCTTGTCGCCTCTGCGACAAGCAACATATCAAAGACATCTGCAGGATTCGTTTCCACCGACAGCCACCTATCGAACATGTTGCGCACCAGGACTAGCTCTTCTAAGAGTTTGTTCGCGAAATCCTTCATGTGAGTGCCGTCTCGAATCGCCTCAAAAAGCGCCTCTAACTCTCTGTCGTTTCTGACACTCCATAGCTTCGTGACTACCTCATTAGTGCTGTAAATGTTTTGAGTTCGGTACTTGTGAACATCCTCCAGCCAACTAACAATCGCCGTGTCGGAAAGTATCTTTCCGGATACTTGCTGGGTCATTTGCCGGAACGCGTCATCTGGATGATAATACTTCAGAAGCCATCTTTCGGTTTGCAGTGCTCCAGAAGCGTCAGACGGAGACGGTAGTGTCCAAACTCGCTCCTCTTCGTTCAGCTGGACGCGGTTGTTCGTGTCCACTGAAGCATCGTCTAGCTCTAAAGGTCCGGATACGACGGACGCTGGCGCCTCCTGAAGAGAAGAGAAAGTCAACAATTCGGGAGCAGGATCGTTGGCTTGATTGGCTAGAGCAGGACCGTCGGTCTCATTGACTCGAGCAGTCGTCGATCCAGCAGCTTTCCATAGTACAACGACAGACGCCGTAAAGAGACAGCGGGGGAGGCGCATGGTGGTGGCTGATGTTTATTTGACACTTAAAGGACTAAGAGAAGCAAGTTGCGGATCCTATTAGCCGCAACATGTCAGCAGCCAAAGTCTCAACCAGCTCGGAGCATCCCGGGAGATTTGATCCCAAGTTCGCCAGCGCCAGTTGCTAGGAGAGGTATGACACGTACGGGCTTTGTGCCACAGATTGGCAGTCGCAGAAATTGTACAGCCAAAACAGGCGGTAAATTTACAGGATCTCATCGGAATTGCGAGCAGGGCTGATTTGTACTACTCCTCTCTCTGTTTCAACATGTTGGTCTCTTCTCAGGAAAAAATGTAAGATAAGCTCATTTTTATGCCTGATTGGCGAATGCACCTCAAAATTAAGTTTATTCTGCGCTCGTTCAGCTACTTGTAGTCGCGCTTTTACGGTGGCCGCAAGCCGAGAACACAAAGACGTAAAAAACCATCAGTTATGAGAAATTTGACGTCGAAGTCGGTCGCGAAGCGTATAAGCTACCGATTGTCAGGTATGATGACTTAAACAACAACTTAGAATTGGGCAAGCACCCGGATTTCTAATTTGCCTTTTCAGATAGGGGAGCAAGCTCTGGAGCTTGCCCTTTGATATAAGTAATCTAGTTCATAGAGCCAAATCAAGTTGCAAAAAACTATTCAACAGATGTCACTGAAGAAGGAATATGATCCTGTTAATGTATGTTTTAACCAGTACAGTATGCTCGTGCAACGCGACCAGCCTTTGCTTATGAGCGTCTGGCATTGCTTACGTGATCATATTCACCTTTGATCGATTTTAAGCCAATTTCGTGCGTGCGTCACAATAGCGACCTAGCCAAAGAGCGACTTCGTATATGCCAATACACCAATGAGGAGGGGACAAGCTAGTTCGCACTTAGTAAGTGTAAGGCACACGTAGACGCGTAATTTACCGACACATAGACAGACACCCACTGTAACGGGGAGCCCGTTACATGAAATTGACACTGAACGGTGTCATTAGGGAGATTGTCTGGCGTGACAATATCCTACCAATATTATCCAAGATGGATAAAATTGAAGGAAAATTATCCCCTTTTTGTAACGGGGCACCCTGAAGCTTGTACTGGTGACAGAACAAGCTACTTATTCTGATGACAGAATAAGGCGGTGCTGTAACGGGGCACCCTGAAGCTTGTACTGGTGACAGTACAAGCTACTTATTCTGATGACAGAATAAGGCGGTGCCTCGTAACTTCACGTACACTCGTACGTGCAGAGGAAGACGGTAAGAAGAAGCGAGTACTCGGTCAGAGTAAAAAGTAGAACTGTATTTAGTATAGTTAATGTCTGCAATAAATCACTATTTATCTTCATCTAACTATGTCTAAATACAAATGTGTAAATCAACTATCTGCTCACCACTCATTGCGTGCGTCTGTCGTGGCGCGTCTTCGTTGGTTGATATAATGGCCTATATCAACCAATTAGGAACTACTCGTAAGTGCTACAGAATATTTGTCCTTATGACAATATTCTGAGAATGTAACTCTTATAGTTATATTCTATTAGCAATTTCTTGTAAATTGTTATTTAACGATTCACCCCGTTACATCACCCCCCCTTAACCATCAGTCACTTTAGTGACTGATTAACTAAATGGCACTCGTCCCAAATCATTTGGGACGGGGTTTGCACTTGTTGGTCCGAGCCCACTTTCCAACATCTCATCGCATGGTTAACAAGCCCATGCGATGCGCGAGCAAGGCCGCCGAGAGCGCGTCCGCACGTCTTTGTGCGGACGCCGAAGCAGAAACCACAGCAACTGATGTCTCATCGGTTGCTGAAGCGACTCAGCCTGTGTCACTTGGTGATGCAGGCGCTGGTCATGAAGACACTCATGTCTTCACAGAGTACGAGCTCGGTGTCTCGTACTCTCCTGATACGGAAGACGGATCCGTATCGACGGCGATCGAATCCAAGCCGCCTGCCAAGCGTGGCATGGATGATGCTTTGCGTCGTAGCATCTTTGGTTCATCTGATGAATCAGATGAACCATCGCCGAAGCGAAGGCGCTCGAGGTCGCGAGACTCGGGCGCTAACAGTGGTGTCGGTTCTCCTATGGACACCACTTCACAGCGAGGTGCCAGTACTTCTGTCGGCACGTCGCAGGAAGAGCGGGACCGCAATGTGTTGCGTCTCGCTCCTGAAAAGAAGGCATGGATGCCTCCAAAATCCGTCATGGATCACTTGTCGGCGACGACGAGTGATCGTTATCGAACACGGTTGTTCGATTCGTCAAGGATCCATCACCTTGACCCCAGTGCGAAAAACTATCGCGCTGAACATGAATTCTTCATCGATGCTTTCTTCAAACATCGATGGTACAGTGGGAATCACAAACGTGATGGTCCCTCACTGCTTCAAGCGTGGAACGCCTACATCCATAACCTCGAGGATGTAGGTCGTGACGCTTGGAACGACAAACTTATCAAAGCTCGTGATAAGTTTGAAAAGCGAACCCCGACAGGTGCACGCTACAAGCTGCATCGTCTGTCAAGGGAGAAAGGATTACCCTGCCTCTCTTGGGGAGACTCGTGCCCATGTTGTGTGAACAACTCTGCACGAGCACCTAAGGAGGCTTACCTCCCTAATAGCCCGTGGTGGCGCGTACGTATCTCTATTGAGATGTACGAAGGGATTGACAACCTGAAATCCCTTTACGACCGTGCCGGGAAGACTTTCTCCGGCGGTCCTTCTGCGGCACAGGATGTGCCGCGTCGTACTGCTCAACCAGACCCAGTACGTCGATCATCAGTTGGGAGCGGGGCTCCCAAGAATCCCAGGACGGGGGATAGCCGCGCCACCGGACGAGATAACTCGTCCGACGTCCGTTCACGTCGCGGTGGTTCAACAGCTGCTCAACTAGATAGCGCTGGCCACCGCGAGAGTCCTCTAATGGAGGTGGAGGAGGAGGAAAGACGCTCTCCACACGATCATGTGGATCGGTGTGTTCCCGAGAGCTTCTTTGATCGCGTAACGCAAGGGTTACGCGACGATCTCGAACATGAGCGGAATAGGCGTCTCCAAATGGCGGACACTGCCTCGAAGCATCGAGCTGAGTTTGCCTTTGCTCAGCTCGAGAACGAGAGATCTCTGACATCTCTTCGTGACGAGCTAAGGGTAGCTCGTGGGATTGTTGATCGGTCTCGGGATGAGATAGCTGCTCTTCAGACCCTTGTTGATGCCCACCATCGGGAGCACAAGGCTCTCTGCGAGATGCTTGAGCGCAAGGGCGTTCTTCATCGGAAGAAGCAGCGTACTGATGGTACGGCTTAAGCCGACCAACGTAAAACGTGGGATGCGTTCGCATCTTACGTGGTAACTCGATCGTGTATGCATTGCCTAGGCGGTGCAATACACGAAATGGGCCGATGTACTTGGGTAGTAGTTTACTGCTACCCAAGTTAGTCACTACATGCTTTGGTAGATTAACCGTAGACAGTAGGACTAAGTCACCTTTATTAAATAAAAGAGTGTTTGCCCTTCCATTCTTGTCAGCGTTTTGCTTTTGCTTATCCACCGCTTCGGCGATGGAGTCTTGCACAAAACGGACTACCGTTTCACGAGCCAGTATGAACTCATCTGATGACTCGTTAGCTTCAGTGCGCTGTGAGCGCACTGCAGCAACATCAACCTTTTCTTCAGTGAGGGCTTCCGCACTCTCACTGGCATCATCTTCTTCGATATCGATGTTATCGATATCGGCATCAAACGCAATGACCTCTTCGTCAGAGCGTGATGAGCGTGAACCAAATCGGTTTTTGCTCGCGCGAGTCCCTCCCCCCCTTAAACCAGAGTTACACTCTAGTAAGGTGGGTACACGCGGATGGCGCAAGCCATTCACGTAAAACGGTGTATGTGTCGTGGACGCATGCACCGAGTTGTTGATGGCAAACTCTACCATTGGCAAAAACTCACTCCAACTCTTAAAGGAGTGTACGTATCCTCGAAGTATCTCTTCAAGGACACGATTGGCACGTTCCGTCTGACCATCTGACTCTGGATGATCAGATGTCGACATCTTCAAGCGCGTTCCGAGTGATTTGAACACGGAACGCCAGAAATCAGCAGTGAATCGTGGATCTCTGTCTGATACGAGTTCACGGGGCAACCCATGAAGTCGGAAGATGGTGTCAATAAAGACACAAGCACAGCCACTTGCTGTTATTGTCTCTGGTACAGCCACAAGGTGTACCATTTTGCTGAATCTGTCAACAAATACGAGAATACCCGTATTCCCGCGTGCGTCTTTGGGTAACCCGAAGACGAAATCCGTTGAGATGGATTCCCAGCACTCAGCCGGAACCGGTAGAGGGTGTAAAAGTGCACGCATTGAAGGACTTGACTTCACTCGTTGACAAACTTCGCATGCGCGAACATACTTTCGCACAAACTGATACTGGCGGGGCCAGTAAAAGTCTTGACTCACCGTGAGAGATGTTTTCTCACGGCCACGATGTCCTTATATAGGAGCATCGTGATACTCGAACATGATCCGCAAACGCAGATCAGTATCATCTGGAATGACAACACGTGGTGTGTCACCAGAAACGGCTGTATCATACAGTAAACCGTTACGAGTAGTCTATCGATCTGATGCAGATCGATACGCGAGGCGACAATCGTTTCAACGATTCTCGAGATGGTTGGGAGAGATGTGTCAACAACTTCACTATCTCACCATCTTGGGCGTATGCCCGCCTCACATCATCATACAACGTTGTAGATGGGACTGAGGACGTCATAACCGCAACAGTGACTGTCTCACTGTTGGGTTTCGCGACTGTTTCAAAGTCGGGACGACGTGAGAGTGCATCAGCGACGACATTAAGTCGTCCTGGTTTGTACTCGACCGTAAAGTTGTATTCTGCAAAGAATGACAACCACCGCGCCATTCGTTGTGAAAGGTGCGGGCTGTTCACTGCCGTGCGTAATGACGCATGGTCAGTGTAAACAATGAA